GACAAGGTCTTGCTCGCCATCGATTCGGGCGATGTTGATGCCTAAAAAAGGATTATGATGATGATCATGGAAAAATTGTTAAACTCGATTCATAACAAAAGCATTCAAAAATTACTTTTTACCGAGGTGACGCAGAGCAGAATAACTATCAAAGACATTGACATCATTTTTGTTGGCAATGATTTTCACTTCAGCCTTTTGTAAATCTGTGTGTGCCCTCCATCCATCAACTGATAATTGCTTTTTATATGACCGAAAAGTTTTTTTGGGAATCGATAGCACATCATTAGCTACTCAGCTAATCTTTACCAAATCTAGTGCAAGATCAGTTTTCAACTGTCAGCCTTCCTGAAACTGTTTGTTCAGCTTTTTTTCAAAAGCATAGATTTTAATGATGCCTTAGTGGGTAAACAAAACTCCAAACGAAGGTACAAATGTACAATTATCTGGCAGTGTACTGTCGGTAGGCGAGCAGTGCACAGCCAACGTCGGCATCGCACTCATCGAGAAAGTGCACCTCCACTCCGGCACGCACACCATTTGGAGCAAGTTGGTTGCCCGTTGTAAATTTTTTGTCAACTATCTTTTCGAATTCTTTTTGGAGCACCTCATTCCTCGCCATCACATTTCCCGTGCAGACGATGGTCTTCGTCAGGGCGCACTCCTCTTCGCTGAGGGCCATCATCGCGAAGATGTTCTCCAGCAGACTGGCACAGAGTGTTCGCGTCAGCCGGGCCAGTCGGGGCAGCTCAAAACGAACTCCCGTCAGCTGAAAGTCGCTCTCCGGCTGGTGCCGCTCGCCAAAGAGGCGCGATTGAATGCGCATAGTGGAAGATGATGAGGTGCTCTCACTTTCTTCTTCTTCTTCCTCTTCCTGCTCACAGATGGAGGCCAACTTTGTCCACACTTCCGCTTCGGTCATCTGCAGGCCGGTTAGCTGGCGGACAATGTCCTGCAGGTAGGCGGCATAGCTGCGCAGCACATTTCCGCCATTTAGTCCGGCGGCCACGGCCAGGTACCGACTGGCATCGTAGGGCATGTAGTCTACGGACGGCTTCGGAGAGGTGGACTTTCTGGGCGGACTGAAGCCGGTCGGCTCAAAGCGCACCAGTTGAATGCTGGTGCCCATGTTCAGTACTGGTTTTTTAAAGATTAAAATTTACGTTTTTTATTGGGGAAAATGTTACCTAAAGCGTCCTCGTTGTTCAATAATGCCACCGTCAGGACAGCCTGCAGGTCGCCGTAGGAGACCATCACTGGAATGCCATCGGCAATGGGGGCAAAGTTGGCCGTCCGGCCTACAACGGTGTTCAGTGGAACAACGGTGGGCAGCAGGCTGACTGGGAAGCCGTTTGCTTTTAGCCTGAAAAGAGCCGAGCAAAAATCAAAATTTATAAAAAACAAAACAAAAAAACGCTTTCACCTACAACTCAACATTCCACGCCTGCTTTTCCGTATTAAAGTAGCCCCAGTTGTTGGCGTTTTGCATACTGATGGAGGGCTCTTTTAGTTTGCACATAACGACATTGAAAAAGTCCATAATGGTCGCTGCTCGATTGAACTGCTTCAAATATTGGGGCTCGTGTTTGGCCAACCAGAAGATGGTGGCCACCGCGTAGCCGGTGCTGACCACGTCAGTGTGACAGTCAGGCGGCGGCAGGCTGGCCAGAAAATCCTTTGTACAGCGACCATCTGTCCAGTCGTAGTTGTCGCTGATGGCCGCGTAATTGAGCTGGTTACCATCACTAAACAGCGTCTCATCGTTCCAGAGGACGACGCCGTGCATCTGTCCGCACACGGAAACGAGATCAAATGACCGATTAGGCGAGACGCCAGCCTGATCTAGTGCCACCGAAATGCAGTAGAATATCTCCCGTACACTCTGCTGACTGTACGAGGGGTTTGGCGAGCGGCGAATCCGGGTTGCATCGTACTGACACTTGCCGCTGGAGAGAATGCGGTAGTTCTCTTCGGGACTGCTAATGGATGCTGATGATTCGAGGACTGCTATTTGGACGACCGAGCACTTGACGCTGGACGTGCCAATGTCGATGCTGAGAATGGTGGTCGTTTTGTCAGCGATTGTACTTCTGTTGCTCATTTCTGCTTTTGTTGTTGTTGCTGTCTTTGTGTGTTTTCAGTCTGTGATGACTGGCAGTCGAGGATACTTTGAAGTGCCTGGTAGTGGTAGTAGTAGTGTTTGGCTGGTGTTTGCTGCAAAACTGGTTTGCTCGATAGCGATAGCCACGGTGGTGGTGGTGGCCTCGACGGTGTCAGACGAACACCGAAAGCAGCTGTACAGCTGTACTTTTCAGTGAATGTCATGATCATCATCTACTGGTATGATGATGTTCACATGTGCACTATCACTGTAAATCGAATCAGTGTACACTGTAATCAGTTTATTTATTTATTATTTGCCAAGTCAGTAAGTACAGTTACATTGCAAGTGTTTTTCTATTTGCCGCTGCCGCTGCTGTTGTTGCTGTTGCTTCGCTGAACAGTGATCATCAGATTGACCATTCCGCGAGGTGTCGGCACGAGCTGTATTTGTCCATTTACCACCGATATTGTTGGAGGGACTCGTGTTCCTGTGGGCAGAACTACACCGCTCACTTGTTGGAATGAGGGTAAATTCAGCTGTTGATTTGCGGCCAGCTGTTTTCCGTTAAAGTATAGCACAATGTCATAGTTGTTGTCGTTCCGTGAGATAGTTATTCCTAAACAACAAAAAGTTAAAAATTAGTAATTGATAAGTTTAATAACTTCAGCCGCCGCCATATTACCTGAAGCACTTTTAAAAAGTGCCAGTACAAATATAACCAAACATGTGGCAATTTTACAAGCTTTCATTTTATTTTTCATTAAAAGTTTTATAATTTTCAATTAAAGTTTTTTGTTATTTCTGAGCATGTTTCCGATTTGTCACGGTAATTTATATTCTAGTTGAGGGTAAGTTAACTCAATAAAGTTTCAGTACTATCGATTTGTAGAACTGATTTGCCATGTTTGTCAGCGGATGAACACTGCAAAAGAAGGGAGTAGTGTCATCATCAAAGAAGTGATGAGTCAATCAGTTGACGCCTTTGCACTATTGTTTGAACAGATGCATTTCCTAGTAGATTCCATGGTAGATAATGGAGAGTATAGTTGTAGCATTTACTTGTAAAAATTAAAAATAAAAGAAATTTTGGTTTTGATATTTAATCAATGATAAGGATCCAAAGAAAAAAGTTAAAATGGGAAACTTCTTAATAATGATTTTGTTAATTACAAAGACATAACAAAATTGTTCAAATCTCAATTTCTGGTTATTTAAAGCAAAAACAGTCATTTTGTTTTGCAATAATAGTTATAACACTGTAAATGCAGTAATCTCTAAACAGGTGTTCAAATGCTGTAAAATCACAAGCGTACATTATAACAAGGTGGCCTAATAATGTCTGCAAAAATTGGCTGGCAAGAAGTGCCAGGCTTAAATTCACACAATTGAACACTCAGTAGTGAAAAAAGAGGGTTCCCTTGAATATTCAAACAACGATATTACTAAATATCTCAATCAATCAAATTAGGCAATTTTAATAAAAGAATGAATAAAACTAGTCTAAAGGAGAAGGGGTTATAAAAGCCATATTACAAGTTTTTATCACTGTTGTATTCTACCTAAACTTTTGCAATCTTACACAGTAAAACTTTTAAAATGTTCAAAATGTATAAACTGGCTACTTTTCTATTGCTGTACTGCTTTCTTTTATGGAGACCTGCAGAGTGTAAGCAAAAGATTTATTTTATCAAAATTTTGTTTTAAAAATAACTTTATTTACTTTCATCATCATCATCAGCTCAAGTGACACAGAATCCAAATCAGAGGGGCGTGCTGGCCAGTCGAAACGACAACAACTACGACATTAGTATGTTACAAATAATTATTTAACTATTTTAATTATTAGTAAATTAAAAACAAAAAAATTTCAACAGTAGTGTACCTGAATGGTCAGCCGCTGTCTTCAAATCAGCAAATGAATTTGCAAGCGTTTCAACAGTTGACCGGAATTGTTTTACCGACTGGACAACGAGTGCCGCCCACTGCACAGATCATCAACGGTCAGTTGATCACCTCGCCCACTCCGCCTGGAATGGCGAACATTCTCATCACGGTGCAGCGCTCCTACTACGGTTTTCCTTTTACTGGCAATGGTAAATAGTGTGCCTCATCAAGATCATCGTTTCAATTTAAATAGCAGCCATTTTTCACTCTGCTAAAGTTCAGCAGACCAAAAGAGACTGCAAAGTTGTTTATGCTTTTTTGGTGGATGTCCATGTCTTTTTATGTTGCCTTATTTTTGTTTTGTTGCTCCACTTTTTGCTGTTTTATAAAAAAATGTCATCATTGAGTTTATGAGTATTTTTTAGCAAAAAAGGATGCGTAGAGATATATTTTGCACTCATTTATTATACCGTCAAATGCTGCTAAAAATAATTCATAAAATCATAAAATTCTGAGAAACAAGTTCAGTACTTTTTTTCTTCTGCCGCTGGTACTAACAAAAATGTGACTTGTTCACTTGTAATTTTTTTAGAAAGGTCAGTCAGTCAGTGCGGACATCAGAATGAAAGAGAGGAAGAGAATAAATGACTTGACAAATTGCCTTCGGAAGCGGAATCCAATAAATAAGATAGTAGCAATTGAAGCTCTTGCTATGTAATCAAATTAACTGCAGCAGATCCTTTCAGCGGCTCCGAACAAGATATGCGAGGGTGGTGGTGAAAATTACCAGCGCCAGTAAAATATGAATGCACTGAAAGAGAAACAGCACAGGCCAGTCAACATCTCAACATCCGAAACAGCAGCTTAACCTTTTTCACAAAAAGCAGACATCCAATTTTGGCGTTAAGTGGAAATGTTAAAAACTTAAATTAATGAGAAAATTAATAGGATCAACAGAAGCAGACCCAATTAGAAAGAGAGCAAGTTCCTAATTACCAGCAAGTAATCGAGTAATTAACGGCTTTTTATTTCAATATAACAAGTGATCAGTAAAAGCGGAGGAAAACAGTAGCAGCAGCAGCAGTGATCGTCTCTGCCTGAAGATTTATGTCTGTTTATTCATATTCAGTCTATGAAAAAGACAGCTCTGTTTACTGCTCAGATGTGAAAATTGAAATTCGATTATGTGCTGCTGCTACTGCGATTGGCTCACTGTAGCTAACTTGTGCCCATTAGCAGAGTCGCTTTGCCTTCACTTTGAAGCATCACCAGAATTTTCACTTCTCTAGTCGAAGACAACGGCATTGAGTATGTGTGTGTTTGTGTGTGTGTGAGTAGTCAATCAAATGGATTTATTACTGGGCAGAAGAATGAAAGAGGAGAAGATGCCAAGAGAAGAAGAGAACTTGGCTAGTGCTGCTTCTGTTCTTCATTTGTTTCCCAGTTTGGCTGTTTATTTTATAAGCATTTATTTGCTGAATGAACGATTGGCCGACTTCTTCTTTCCTTTCTTCGTCATCAACAGTGTGAGCAATGTGATGAGTAGTAGCCCATAGTGGTTGCCCTTTTCTTTTGCCCGTCTAGACTTGCCTGCCTGGTGCCTATTGCCAATTGCCAATCGCCCAAGTCATGGTAGTAGTAGTAATGGCGGTCCTGCCAAACCGTTTGCCCGCATCGAAATTTGAGTCGAGACTT